CAGGGGCATACGTAAATGTATAGGATGCTAGGCCTCCCCCATATCACATTTCAGTGGGACACGTTTGTATTTTTGGTTAATTAGCAGATTTTTGAGACTACCAGTGAGTGATATAGATATGAGTTCGTAGTTGAATTTTCCCACAATTACACGAGTAGGCCTTAGTTTCCATTTAATTTAATATAGCCTTGCTTTTCCAAAAAGTTACTTATCCAGGATGGACTGCAGTGGACCTCATCTATACCTCATCTGCATTCCCGGCGGGACTCAAACCGCGATAACGCAACATATCATTTCGGCACGTTAACCACTGCGCCACACTGCCACGACTGGCCTTGGGTAAGAGGCCAGATGTGAATTTCAAGGAATGTCAGACATTTTCTCATGCCACATTCTTTTGTGGGATTGTCGATGAGCCAAAGTTGTATTTGCTACAGCAATTGACTAGATTACTTATTTTTCGTTGATATGTAGATTTCTAGACACAAAGCGCAAGTTCTTCTGATTGAAAATTCCACTAAAAATTTGATATGGGCGATGCCTGGCCTGCCTTGACATTCTCATCTGCCCTGTGACCCAGGGGCCCTCATGTAGGGAGATTAATATGTTGAGATTATACGCTACACCACTTGGGTTCGGTTCCCTTAAAGCGTGCCGATTAGAACCAGGCAAAGTCAAAATTGTAGTCCACCATGGGTGAGGATATCTAAAAAAAGCAATACCAAGAGAAACTTAATGGAAACTTGAGGCCTACTCAAGGAGAAAATTCAATTACCAGTCTTTCATCATCCTATTTCATAAACTTGTATTTTGCCATTACAATTACTATGCTACTTATATTTATTGAAAGTAGGCTTATATACTATCTTTACATGTTGAATAATTAATATATATAATTTTGTTACATTATTCATTCTCTCTTTTTCACTATGCATATCCATCTCAACAGCTCGTTGTTAAGGGAACCGTGTTCGCACGTTTTTCTCCCGATCAAAAGGCCCAGTTAGTAGAAGCATTGCAGTCTGTCGGCTACTTTGTTGCCATGTGTGGGGACGGTGCCAATGACTGTGGTGCTTTAAAAGCAGCACATGCTGGTGTTTCTCTGAGTGAGGCCGAGGCATCAGTGGCGAGCCCCTTCACTTCGCAGCGCCACGATATCAGCTGTATTCCAAAACTGATACGCGAGGGTCGCTGTGCACTTACCACTAGTTTTGGCATCTTCAAGTTCATGGCTGGCTATTCTCTCACCCAATTCGCATCGGTCATCCTCCTCTATTGGGTAAGCACCAGCCACTTTTCAAAAGAAATTTACGTATCCTTTCAATAAATATGAATCATTATGGACCTTTTTTAAATTATACAATATTATATCGTAAATATGAAAACCTAGGTGGCGTAGCGTTTTATTTGATCGCCGTCTCTTTTTATAACAGATGAAGTCTAATAACTATGCATACACATCCAGATGATAAATTATATAAATTACAAAAGATTAATACCAAAAAAATGAAGTGCAAGTTTTCGTTTAAAAGAATTTGAAAGTAAATGTTTAAATATTATATTGTAGTGTTGGTTTGATCTCGTTTTCGCAACTTGGTCGGAGCAACAAAGAGTTCTTGTGGAACATACTTAGTTCTGCATCGCCATATCAGAAGTCTTTTTCTATTCTCTTGATTATTTTTACTGTGCCCCAGGTATCCGTTATGTTTTACGTTTTTATTGAGTAAAGCTTCGGACTGAATATTCTGGATACTTAAAAGATTGTATTCCTGTTCATGCCGAAATTTTTTTTTTTACAATTTTCTTAATTTTTCAATTTAAAAACTTTAAAACTTGAACTCATTCTTGCCATTTATT